TAGACCCCGCAGGATAGCTTTCGCCAATTACGATACAAGCGAAGATCCTTATACAAGAATTATGGCTAGACTTAACCGACTGAGACGAACAAGTGAAACCTCTTCGCTTAGAAAAATGGTCCCAGTTCGCTAATAACTTGAAGGACATCTCGCAGATACAAATCATACGATGGGTAAACTATTCCCCCGAATACAARGTAGAACAACACGGCTTCTGCGACGCCTCTGAAAAGGCATATTGTGCCACTATATACGTGCGAACACAAAGCGATATCGCAACTACAAGCCGCCTGTTAGCGGCAAAAGCAAAAGTTGCGCCTCTAAAAACGCTAAGTCTCATACGACTTGATCTCTGTGGCGCTCTGCTACTAGCAAAGCTAGCTTCAATGGTGCCGACATACTTAAATATGGCGAAATACAGATTATATTTATGGTCCGAGATAGTTCTAGCCTGGTTAGAAAAACCACCACATGCGTGGAAAAATTATATTTCTAACCGAACATCTGAAATACTTGACCTAGTAGGATCAGCCACTTGGCATCACGCCAGTGCTGACAATCCTGATCTAGGAACAAGAGGATGCAAACCTCTGCATCTCGCCATCTCCACCCTCTGGTGGAATGGCCCCCGATGGTTAACAGAATATCCCGATTCTTGGCCACAATCGCCCATGCGCAACATACTTGCCCCAGAAATTTATCATGCAACACTGGATGACACTGACATCCTTGAACGATTTTCATCACATTTATCGGAGCTCAAAGAGCTACCGAAAAACAGTTTGTGGACTTCACAAAACAAATCTCAACGGACATTGTACAAAAATATGCTCCYCAAGGTATCAATTGGCAGTTTATCTCGACAAGCGCCCCTCACATGGGCGGCTTATGGGAGTCAGCTGTAAAAAGCTTCAAATCTCATCCTAAAAGATCGCTGGCAACCACATATTCAATTATGAAGAGTTCACGACACTCTTAACAAGAATTGAAGCCGTTCTTAACTCACGGCCTTTCGCTGCACTCTCGCAAGATCCCTCAGACTTTACTGTCCTCACGCCAGGGCATTTTCTTAAAGGAGCGCCCATTCTGGCCACACCTTAGCCAGGCGTGGAGTCGGTTTCCTTATTAAACCGTTGGGAAAGAACTAAAATTCTCCATCATGGCTTCAGTGGCCGATGGAAAGATGATTATTTAAAGCACCTCCACAGAAGGTACCGATGGAAAATCACAGAAAATGCGCCTAAGCTTGGAGATTGTGTCTTAATCAATGACGRTTGTCTCCCCCCTACCGTTTGGCGGCTTGGCCGCATAGAGAAGCTTTACTACAGCTCCGACGGTCATATTCGCGTAGTCGATCTCCGTACACAATCGGGAACGCTAACCAGACCGCTCGTTAAATAATGCTTTTTGCCAACCGCAGATAAAACCGAAAAGTAACCGAAAATAACGTAACCGTAATTAATAAACCAAGAAACGAAAAATAAATAATGATAAAGTGCTCCAACAGCAATAACTAGCAACAAAAACCGAGAAAAGGGAATCGATCCACATGACGACTCACTCGTACCACATTTCGTGGCACCAATGCCCATATGAATATACTCGCATATATGTATGTATATGTTATTAATTCAAGTAAAATCTTTTAACAGATAAAATGAATGCCGCGATGCCAACTGCGCCCACGTTCGCAATACGTTCCGCGCTCGAASACTACACCAGTCGCAGGGCCGCGAACCACCATATCCACCGCAGCTCCCCGAGCAGTTTCAACGGTGCCACATAACGACACGCGATCTACGGCTCCGGAACCACAACTACTCGAATGTGCCCTATGTCGCCGTCGTCATCGGTTGCCACGCTGTGGCATCTTCAAGGGGATGACCCCTCAGCAACGTCAGCAGGTCGCTCAGGCACATAGACATTGTTTAAATTGTCTGGCGCCCACCCATCGTACGCAAGAGTGCACAACGGGCTATCAGTGCCAAATATAGAGGATGACCCCTCACCAACGCCAGCAGGTCGCTCAGGCACATGGACATTGTTTAAATTGTCTGGCGCCCACCCATCGTACGCAAGAGTGCGGCTATCAGTGCCAAATATGCATGCGGCACCACCATACCGTACTACACCGCACCGCCGTATCCGACGCCGGGCGTCGTGATGTTCCTCGCAGCCGTAAGTTGTAGCCACGTTGCAACGGCTTCAGAGGCAACTAGGCTAGATACTCGATTAGGGGGGCCAGGATGTACAAATGATCCTCCTCCGACCTCAACACACATACACCACATTATCACACCACATCGACTCAAACTTACATCACTAACACGGCACATTCACCACATTATGCTTACAACCCACATTCTACACTACTCACGAGAGCAGCACACACCGACACCTACACACATGTACACCAGCCACAGCAGTCACACCATCCTATTCAGCACCAACGGGGATAAAGAAGGACCGATTACCAGCCTCAGGGCTCAGTTCGTTGGCGACATTATCTGCGATCGGTTCGACACAATTTCTGCGCGTCCGCCTCTACATCCACCGCAAACAGTTATTTGACATTTATATTTCATCGCAAGTCGGTTTGTTCCTTTAAAATAAAAGGCCGTCCGGTCATTCGGTCATAAATTCATTTTCAATTCTTTCCGCTAATTTTAATTTTGGTACATAAAATCCCAAAAAGGTGAGTGCGAAAGGTTTACAGTAGGTTTAAATAGTATTTTTCTTGCTATATCATGGATAAAATTTCTATTCATGGAGTGTTGTTTTTGTTATAGTTTTTTAAGCTGTGTTTAAAGCTCAATGTAGTTAAAAGAGATGTTTTAAAAGGGCGTGGTTAGCGGGTTCACATAGCCAACATGCGTATTTGGTATGTCTGGGTCCAAGTTAAATGAAGCATACGCATTAAATTAGCTATAATATCCAGAGCATGGATATTTGACTCTTAGAAAAATGATATTTTCGTCATTAATTTTCTGTTTGCAGGACACTGCTGAAAACCCCTGAAACATCTATGTTCTTCTGTGTGCTTCAATGGCATACAGGTATGTATGTTCAGTCTCCAAACGAATTTATATGCAAATAAAAATTATAAATAAAGTGTATCTTATTATAGATATATAAGTCGTTTGCTACAGTCACCATATCTGTCAGCAATATTATGTATTTCACTTTCGCATAAAAACGAAGAAATTTGGTTTAAAAATCAAACAGGTAGTTCCAGATATCAAATAATTTTGATGTGGTGAGCTTATTCTGAAAACCTAGTTCATATATATAAGGGGTTATATACCGTTATATTTTTCAAAAGTCGATTTTTTTTATTTTCTTCCTAATGCATACGTATTTAATTTCATATCGTTCCGGTAAATATTTTCGTGGTTGCACGCAGATTGGAAAAGGCGTTTCAGTGTGCTTGGAAGTGCTTTCCAAACTATAAACGTGTTTTTCTCAAAATTGTGTTTTCAAAATCRATCACCAACATGATTCGAAACCGGCTAAACCGATTTGACTCAAATTTTAACACAAGCTTCTTAAACATATTTTTCAGCTATCAATCGAAATTTTTTTCTCACCGATACTTTACTTAAAAATTAATTTTCTTTTAGAAACCACCATTTTGTAAAAACTTTKTTTTTTTTTTTTTTTTTTTTTTTTTTTTTTTTTTTTTTTTTTTTTTTTTTTTTTTGCCAAAATGTTACAACTAAGCGAAAAAACATCAAGATAAGGAAAAAATTGAAATGGTCATTAAAAAAACTGACACTACGAACGCCAAACCCTTTGAGTGTTTTACTATACTGACCTAGTACCATCACCCTGACTTGGAATTTTTCAACCCTCAGACAATAATCCCAAAAATGTTCCACAGTGTAATAAGCTGACATTCAATTTATTCCGACGTTTTAACATTGAGAAAATGTAAATTTTTAAACAAACTTTTCACAAACTAAGTAATTATTTATTTTGTTTATATAAAGCAAAGACAATGGCCGAGACGCTCCTTTTCCTGAAGTGCTACAATGAGAAGAAGGATTTGTTCCTGCATGCGCGCAAGAAAAAGTTCGCTTATGAAAACGTCTTTGCGGACATGATATTTCAAGGAATTCCAGTGACTTCATCTATATTGTAAAATAGCCGCATGTTTTCAAAATAACTCAGACAATTTATATAAGATATTGAGGAGCATGTATTTCATATAGAGCTTTGATTATGTTTGCCCACTTTGCTGAGTTAAAGGCATTCTTCACATTCAGGGTGATCAGCGTACAATATTTTTTTTGGTCCGCCTTTCCATCACTAGCCACTTACTGCGCATTTCGCAGTGTCAACGACATCGTATAGTGCATCAATGGTGGACCTCTTTTTCATAAAGCCGTATTATCTTTCTGATAATCCGCCGGTTTTCTGGATTGATAATAATACCTATCGAGCCTTATGTACTTGAAGGTATTACCCCGGCTTTAATAAACCATAATGTTAATTTAGCAAATTACTTGAGCTTATGCCACAAATGTATCTCTCATATAAGTTAATTGTGCTGATTGCAATAAAAATTTTCCGCTGCGACGCAAAGTGTAGTAATACTCTTAATCAATTGTTTACCCATATTAAAAGTTAATAAGATACCAGGAGTTGTCTTCAACATGTATATTCCACACTCACTTTTTAATCACTAATTTTAATTAATTTAATTTTCCGAAATAAAAGAAGCGATTTTATATGTATACACACGCGTATTTGTAAGCCATGGGGGATGTCCCAATGGGGTTTTATTAAAAAGGTTAAAAAAGCGAAAATTGGAAAACTATTGGTGAAGATTGCGTGTCAGTATTGTGAGGTTAATGTGGTGTGTGTGTTGATGTGGTATGTGTTGATGCCGGGGGAGGATGATCACTTATACAATGATGTAATTCATTGATGATTTCGTTGAATAATTTAATGAACTAAAGTAGAAATTAAAAATTTAATATTCGATTTATTTTTTTTTTTTTATTCCTTTAACACTTTAAATTGCGCAACAATATTACAATTGACTTGATAATATAAAACAATACTTCTATTTTATTTTCAGAAATTATGGAGTAGTAGTACTTTGTTTCCAGACTTGGTATTTCTTTGAGAAAGAAAGTACGGTGACAGCTATTCCCACTATTAGGAAATTTCGATCCAGTGAAACTGTTATTATTGTTGTCACTTTCAAAGTTACTGTGATTGGCATGTTGCATTGCAGCCGGAATTTCCCCTGAAAGTAAAAATATTACATGTAATTTTATCAGGTCATCTTTATGAGAAAAAGTGACTGTTCTGAAATCTAAAGAAATAGTTTTTATTAAAAGTTTTTATTATCGCTTAATTCTAACACAACGTATATGGCAGTATCAGCATTGATGAGAATAGAACACGCAATGGACGAACAAAGAAAAATTTAATAAATAATCGAATGCTTTCCTTTTCAATGCTCAACAAAACCATTAAACTTTATATCGTCAAGTTTTTAATTATAAATTTTTTGTGAAAAATTCATTAAGTTTGTATTATATTTTTGTAATAAAGATAATGCTTACTTTCTTCTAAATATTTGCTCACTTGAAAATCTACAAATGAAAAGGAACAAACAGCCTCGAAAGAGAGTCCTCCTTTTGATGACAACCACATCAAATATAAGGATTACGATTTCAGGGCAAGCACCTGGAATATCCGGTCYTTTAATTGGGAAGCTGCCGCTGCCCCGTTAGTTGATGTCCCCGTGAGAGTAAAGGCTGACATTACCGCCCTCCAAGAAGTGCAATGGACGGGAAATGGATTGAGCCTTGGGGCATTTATTACAGTGGCTATATCGAGGAGCTTAAATCCGGTGTGGAATTCGTGGTGTTAGAAACCAAAGATGCGTCCTATGATCGCATAAAGCGCACCTTTGAGAGCTGCCGCGCCACGATATCAAAATGGTGCTTGGCGATTTTAATCTCTCCAGTCTTTTAGATCGGGCGCTCCGAGGTCCTAACATCGACTCGGACCCCTATCTTGTTGTAGTCAAGATACGCACCAGCAGCTGGTAGAACGAAGAGTGGAATATCGCAGCGGAGAGAAAACAGACTGCCTGCCACTTAACGTTACCATCGACCATAACACGAGCGGGATGGGATAGATACCGAGAGTTTTGGCGGGAAGCAATACAAATTTGCAGATTTAAAATTAGAGAGCCCGAAATGCGTTAGTGTGAAGAGCTCGAAAAGCTGGCCGACATGAGTAACGCTCGACAATTCTACGACAAGTTTAGTATCAAGACCTAGAGAAAATAATTTGAGCTTCAAAAAAATAGAGAAGATATTATCCTCTATAAAAGTCTTTAACTGCAGGCGTACGCCGATGATATCGACTAGGCTACCTCGTTGTAGATCAGTTGTACATAATTTCGTTCATCTTGAAACCAGCCTCAACACCAAAAACAATGTCAGGCACGAAATACCAAGCAGAATAATTCTTGCCAACAGGTTCTAATTTGGACTGAATAGGCAATTGAAAATTAAAGTCCTCTGTCGGCGAACAAAAACAAAACTCTATAAATTACTCATTATTCCCGTCCTGCTATATGGTGCAGAGGCATGGACATGACAATATCTGATGCGTCGACATTACGAGTTTCTGAGAGAATGACTCATTTAAATAGTTCAGCGAATTAAAGGACAGCGGCAACGCTGGCTAGGTCTTATCATCCGAATGGACGAAAACACTTTAGCTCTATAGTATTCGACGTAATAACGGAAGGGAAACAGAATAGACGAAGACCTCCATTCCGTTGGAAAGACCAAGTGGAGAAGGACCTGACTTCGCTTGGCATACCCAATTGGCGCCACGTAGCGAAGAGAAGAAACGATTAGAGGGCTGTTGTTAACTCGGCTATAACCGTGTTAGCGGTGCCTACGACCGAAAAAAGGAGGAAGTAATTTAATGTATGTTTAAAAAATATTTATAAGTCGTTTGCTACAGTCACCATATCTGTCAGCAATGTTATGTATTTCACTTTGACATAAAAACGAAGTAATTTGGTTTAAAAATCAAATTTACCTGATGCAGATATCAATAATTTTGATGTGGTAAGCTTATTCTGAAAACCTTTAACGATACATTTGCTTTGTTAATTTCAGAGAATCCAGTTCAGAGATATTGTGGTCACCGCAAAACCTTTTTTTTTTAGAATCTCTTGGAGATCAGCTAGGAACTACAAATATATTTTTTAATACTTAGTCTTAAAATACAGTTAAAAGATACCAGCATATGTGTAAAAAATTTTTGATTAAAAAATTTTTAAATTTTCTCAGAATCTGGAAAACTCGCTGTTTTCTGCCTTTTAACTGCATATTACCTCCTAACTGTAGTTTGAACAAATAAGAAAGGCCTAAGTTCGAGCGTAAATGAACATTTTATCATCTTGCTACTGCAAGAACCAAGGTTCCTCAAATTATTTCAGGCGCCGGAAAAACTTTATATTCAAAACGTTGCGAGTTTAACATTCCTTATTCAAAAGATTAGAGTATACTGTAAACAAATTCGCAATCTGGCAATACCAATATTAACTACGTCTTGATTTCGTGATTTTAGTCGTTTTTAACAGTACAGCGGCTTTATCATCCGATTTCATTCTTTTTCCCACTGTCGATAAGAGCTCCTATAAGAATCGTCTTAAGTGAATTTGTCTATTGTAGCTTTAGAGGCCTAGTAGATATATACATTAAACTAATAGGATAGCGTGGCCAGAACCCCATTTTTCAAAATTTTTAGCCAACGGGTACCACAAATATTGGCATCCTCTGTGCTAAAATCCAATCGCATTCTTATTTTAGTGCTTAGCTATGGTACTCTGCATGTTTTCATTTAATAGCGTTTTGTGTGGCGAAGCAGTGGTTCGCCCGAACTCTGCTTTACTTTGTTGCCAAGAAACATGTATACCAAGTTGCATTTTATTTTTTAAAGTTACAGCTAGCACAGACGTACAGACACACATTCTGACAGACACTCAGATTTCAGCTCCTAATAATTTTCATATTTCGTTTAGTCTTAGGTGATACTTATAACCGTTAGGTGAACAAAACTGTTATATTCTGTAGTAAAATGTTGCAAGAGTATAAAAAGAAATACTTTTAACTTGTGGTTTTTCCTTTTGTACATACGTAAGCTTACGCTTCACGCCACAAGATTATGGAAATAATTTTTAAGCAGGAGTGTTGAAACTGAGGTACTTGAAGATGAACTCTTTCCCTCACCGCTATACATACATATATTATATATTAATAATTTAAAGAGGAAATATTTGATTGTTTGTTTGTTGAATAGGCTCCGAATCTACAAACGAGTAAGGAAGAGATAAGTTCGGGTGCCACCGAACATTTTATACTGTTGCAACTTGCAGGAATTAAAGCAAGGGAAATATCTTAAGACGTAAGACGCATATCATTTGACCGTGTGTTTGTAAATGAACTGCTGCTAAGCAGCTGGACCGGTTTTGATGAATTTTTTTGTGTGTGTTTAAGGAAATTCGAGAATGCTTAAGATTCACAATATGGTCCACTGGAAAATGTTTTTTTAAATTAATTTTTCATTTGTAATTAATTGCTAATTTGGAATGTTGTACATTGGATCCGATAGATTACGCTACCATCGCGGTATCCAATATTCAAACCTGAAATTGGCGTAAACGTGCAATAAACAAAACGATGCCAAAGTAAAAGGCGAAATTTTTAGACAAATTTTCATAATGTGGACAGAGTTGTTCGTTCTTAGGTAATAAATTGGGAGATTCAATACATCTAGGGGTAGCTATAACATTTTTTTCATATCTGCTAACTATTGGAGAGGGTATCTTGACAGGCATTTTAAAATTTCAAAAGATATGGCATAAAAAAATTGCGGCATAACTGTAAGTGTTGATAAAAAGGTCTATTAAAATTTAAGATATACAGAAATCTTTTCGTAGCATTGCACAGAGTAATGCAATATTTAAACGGGAACGATGAAGTACATATATGCGTACAATTTCAAGCTGAATTTGATCCTGAAAAATAATAAAATTGCTAAATATTTGGAAAAGTAGAATAGAACTGCAATCAAATACACAGTGCAAGGAATTAAAACGGGCTCATTTATCATTCGATGAATAATGTACCATGGGCATCCCAAAAGACTGATGCCATAACCTTGCCAGCCGATTTTTTTTGTCTTTCCACGCTTGAGAACCGTTTCTTAACACGAAGTCCACTAGGCTGACAGATTCAATAGTATTTTTGCCACAAAAACCAATTCTTTCATAGCGCACAATATGCTTTTTGATTAATTTTTATGGAATACTTAGATTACCATATATTGTAAGCTATAAGCTGTCACTTCAGCAGTTTGACAGTGCAGTTTTCATTTCTATTAGCAGAAACAGTCAAAAACGCAGAATCGTGGGTCGTGTCAGCTGATTCGACCTATCTTATGGGCGCGCAATGTAAGTGCCCAGTGAAAAACGCTACTCCCTTTTCTCTTTGACGTGGGATGACATGAGAATCTACAGCAATTTGGTTTTTGCCGTGGAAACGTGTCAGCTGATTGCTCTCTCACAACCCAGGGTTGCCAATATCTATATACTGTAGTAATTATCAACTTTTATAATTCAATATGTTCAATATGTTTGAAATTTTCTTAAAATAACTCAAATTCAGAGTCGAATGCTATTATTTATAAATATATAAACTATTTTTAATAGTTTGTTTTAAGTTTTGATATTTTATATTATAAAAAATTGTAATCGAAAAAATTGATGTGTACAAAACTATACATGCGTATTGAGCAAGATCAACATTGTGCAAATGAAAACAAACAAAGATGGCTGAATTCTGCGTTTCTGCCACGTTTTTCACTAGGCACACATTTTTCCGATGAGGAAGGAAAAGGGAGGAAGGCAGTAGCGTTTTGTGACTGTTCCTGCTATATGAAAATTTCAAAGAGGCAACATATCCCATTTGCACATATGCCGGCGGCATTTTTAATTCGGTAATATGAAGTTTAGAAGAGCGAGTATTAAGACGGTTTTGTTATATTATAAAAATAAAGTACATTTTAAAAATAATATTTTTCCAAAAAATTAATATTTTGTTTAATATTGTTAATTTACAGAAAAATTATGCAAATTGGACTGAGAATATATTATTGCTCATTTTAAATTTATTATTTTAATAGGTGTATAAAATTTATGCCACCATTAAT